GAATTCGAACCAATCCGATTCGATTCGATTTGATTTGATTCTCATGGAACCCGAACAAAAAAGAACCATATCTAGTCTTACCTTCCAACTAGAAAATTGGAATTCATTTCTCTTCCTCCCTCCCTTAATTAATTCGCTCTTCGAGGAAGCTTGTATCCTCTTACTATAAAAACACACTCATCTATTCATCTTTTATGAGTTTCCTTTCCCTTCTATACTTTAAAATAGTGACGGTAATGGGTCGGAACCGGAATAGAGGCTACGGAAAAATTCCCATTTCGTGTCATGACTCATGTGTTTCCCATATAATTAAATTTTCAATTTTTAATATTTTTTAGTTAAATATAATTCGAATTTAAAAACCTAAAAAAAAATGCATATTTTAATAATTTTTAGCTACCACACATAGAATTGGGCACAATTCGCTTCCATCAATTTCAAAAAAAAAAAAAATCAATCCAAATCAAGAATCAATGAGAATCTTATAAATAGACCAAACCAAATAAAATTCCATAATAAAAAAACCATTTTAATTCTTAAATAAGTCTTACCATTGTGATACGTTATTTCTTTTCCTATAATGAATAATGGGTGCATTTTCCTTTAAAATGAATAATTCTTTTCAAGTGCTTGGTGTATTTCATCTATCTTTATTTTCTAAAAAATCAAAATATATTTTTGTCATTATGAGTATTATAATAGAATCGGACCGAACCAAGGGGTTCTGGTATGAGGAAATTACACGGTAACCGGTGTTTGGAGATTACTTTTCAGAAATCAGGTACAAAAGTTTAATAATCATAAATCAGGTATAATTATATGTTTTAATTTATTATTAAAACCATTTTCAAACCCTAATATCTCACCCTCTCTCTCTTCACTCTCGCCTTTCTTCTCTCTGTCACTACATTTTCTTCTACTCTCATTCTCTTCGATTCTCGTCTCTCTCTCTCTACCCTCGCCCTTACCGTCGCCGGAGTGGAGCACTGGCGTCGTCCAGATCTCCCTCACAGACACGCCTCTTCCTCACAGATGTCGGAGACTGCACTGCTCCGTCAGAGATCTGCTATCTCCTCCGCCATTCCCCTCTCTTCTTTCTTTCACGATCTAGTACTTAACCCACCGTCGTTGCAGTGAACGGTAGCGTCACGCGAGCTGCCGTGCGACGCTTTCACAGCAGCGTCGCGACGGGTGGTGTGTGTGTATTTGTGTGTTGTGGGTTTACGTGCAATGGTTGAGCGGCAGTAGAGTTGTGGTGGTGGTTTAGTGGTG